CAACTTCGTGAATCACACCGGTGTATAAAACTTTAACTGCGTGAAACACACAGTAGTATAAAACTTCAACTGCGTGAAACACACAGGTGTATAAAAATACAACTGCGTGAAACACACAGGCGTATAAAAATGCAACTACGTGAAACACACAGGTGTATAAAAATACAACTGCGTGAAACACACAGGCGTATAAAAATGCAACTGCGTGAAACACACAGGTGTATAAAAATACAACTGCCTGGAACACAGTAGTATAAAACTTCAACTGCGTGAAACACCCAGGTATATAAAAATACACCTTCGTGAAACACACAGTAGTATAAAACTTTAACTGCGTGAAACACACAGATGTATAAAAATACAACTGCGTGAAACACACAGGCGTATAAAAATGCAACTGCGTGAAACATACAGATCTATAAAACTTCAACTGCGTGAAACACACAGGTGTATAAAACTTCAACTGCGTGAAACACACAGGCGTATCAAAATGCAACTGCGTGAAACACACAGGTGTATAAAAATACAACTGCGTGAAACACACAGTAGTATAAACATACAACTGCGTGAAACACACAGTAGTATAAAACTTCAACTGCGTGAAACACACAGTAGTATGAAACTTCAACTACGTGAAATACACAGCAGTATGAATATTCGGCTGCGTGAAACACACAAACTTCACGCATGCGTGAAGTGTATGGAGTGTACGGGAGTGATTCACGCAATGGTGCGAATAGTCACGGCCATAAGCTTTGTCCGTTGACACCAATTAAAATTTAATTTTTCGTATAGATTCGATGAAACTGATATTTTTCCAAATCGATTTTTCAACGATCACTCGGAAAATTGTTATCAAGATGGTGAAAATTAGTCATGGCTCAAAAAAATTATAACAATACCCTCTTGATTCTACCAGAATATGATGGGGGTCGCACAATTCGTTGTTGAGATACAGCACATTGTTTATGCGATTTAAAAGAGATAATCGGTTTTTTCATGATCACTGAAAGAATTTTCACTAATATCAGTTGAATCAGGGCTTAACAGTATATTTCAATATCTTCTTAATGAACTTGAAAAAAGGTGAGGTTGCTTATCAAGCTACGCAATACCGTCATGAGCTTTTTATACAAAAATCTCTATCTCTATTAAACTCAGGTACTTGTCTGTTATGTTGAATACTTATTCATATTGATCCATGCTCCCGACTTACTTCTGACAAAACCTGGGTTAAATTCTGGCTAAATCCTGAATAAACTGCGATTACATTCCGGCTATCCACTGACTAAACCGTGATTGAACCTTGACTAAACCTGGACTGAAAATGAATTTGAGTCTAGAATTATTTAACGAAATAATACGCAAAATTTTGAGGACATTTCAATTGATGATAGTACTATGACATGAAAAAATAGAAGAGACTAGTGAAATAATAATTTTAAAAAAGAAAACCTACTCGGAAGCAAAATGCTAATTTATTAGCAACAATTACTACACTCATTTATAAAAATAAACCATTGCCCACTTGATTGTAGACTATTAAAAAATTAAAAACAGATATAAATTTTTATAAGTCTTTTTTGCAGCTCTCTTTTCGTTTTACGAAAAATAGTCCTGTCCCAATTTTCTCTATTCCCCATTCGATTCCGAAAGAATTGTACTTTGTAGTGACAAAAATTGGCCAGATGTTATCGATTAAATGGACAAAGGCGAAAAAATTTCTCTGAGTTGAATCAGACCACTACCGAGTTCACTAGTAATCCAGTAAGCATGGATAGAACCTGAAAATTCCCCCCTGCCTTGCGGCCGTGTGCTCGGCGCTGGCATGAGCTCATGTGTGTGGTGGGGTCGCGCGCGCTGTACGTTACGGAATGAGGAGTATCAGCTGACTGACAGAAGGGGGACAGCCGCGCCGCTGTACACATCGAGAATTCTTGCGTCAGTAGTGGCGCCTACTCCAGTGGTTCTTTTGTTTAACTTTCAACAAAATTATAATTTTGTAACTAGAACTTATGGACTTTCTTCAAACCTCTGTTAATTGAGTTATTTACAAGCTATTCAAAGGATTGGATTGTGTGACAGTGAAGTTTGTGATTTTGTTTTCACTTGACTTTGGACTACAGGACGTATCTCATACTGGAAATTGTATCAGTAAGTATTTATCAGGTCTGTCGTTGCGATAATGTTATCATATTTTTTATTAAACGTCAACGGTGAGGGTTTTGATTTATCGAATTGTCCTGAATTCGGTTACAATTGAATGGAATTATGACATTGTGGAATGGTATAGTTGAGAGAGGTCACGTGCAATACCGGAAGGACCTCAAGAATCCCGTGGGAGGGTCAGAGCTGTAGTCTCTAGGGTTTTGGGAGCAGGAGAATGCTGAGAAAATAACTTTGCACTGCGGGGGGCTCCTTTCTCATCTCATCTTTCCGCGCTCTTCCTTTCTCGTCTTCATTCGCTTTCGTTAATTTGTCGACGAGCCATTCGTCCAGAGATTTCCAAGGAGAAAAAGGTAAACAAACTTCGCTCGTCATGCCTTGACGATTCCATTATTTTTAATTACTAGAATCACCCGGATGATAGCACTGAAAACGTGATGAAGTAATCTCGTGATTTTAACTTGAAAATAAGGAAAAAGTGCCATTGAGTCATTGTGGTATGGACAATATCAAGCTATCATATGCATGGAGTGAAGTTCTTGTTTCGTTTTTTTTTCTCATTAGGTACATTGAAAAATTCAAATATTTTTCTAGTACTCTACACTGCTAAACAATTTTGACTGAAATTTCCGGTATACTTATTGGAAATTTTTAGCACATTTTAGTTCGACTGAAATTTCCAGGAATTTCGTCATTGCAAATCCAAAATTTTATGGAAAAATCGATGGAAACTGTGAATTTCAGTCCAATTATTTTATAAAAATTCATAGAAATCAGGAAAATTCAGTGTAATTTGCCACTGAAAATTCTGTCATGAATTAGTAAACTAGGATAAGTGCATTTATTTCAAAAATTTTTTTTTGTTAAATCACTTTCATCAACGTATGGACAACGCATTTAAAAAAAAATTACTTATCCTAGTTTACCAATTCACCACAGAATTCATGTTTTGATTGAAAATTCACGTAAATTGGAGGATTCTCGTCTTCCTGATGCTAAAAAATGTGAAATTTCATAATTTATTTCTCCCTAAACTGCATTCAAAGTCACTCTTCTGAAAATTCCTAGTCAACAGTCCATGAAACTTCAATTTTTTCCTACCACTGTACAAAGTTAATCAACACGGCCGCCAATATTATGAACAATTTTATGTAGATTTCAGTTATTTTACATCCTGCATTCGATAAAGTTATAGCGTCGAGCAGTCTCCACAGGGAGTTTGTAAATAGCAGCTGCTTTTCCCGTGTATGGATTCTTATCACGCTACAGAGGAAACCGCTAAGACTCCACGCGATGTTTCACTCGCGTACAAATTGTCCATTTTTTTTTCATCGCCGTTCTGTATCCCAGGAAACCGAATGTTTTTGTTGAAAATGCTTTGTGTTATTTGGTTCGAATTGAATGCCAAAGAATTCTGCGGTTTCTCCGGTTCAAGAAGCCTCAGACAGTGTTCACTGTTTTCGCTTATTCATCATCGAGGCCAAATGCATTTTTACTGAATAAACTGCAATATTTTTTAAGCCCATTCTCTTTCTGCATTATGAGCATTAGCATCTCATTTAATGAATTATCGAGGCGCATTACGGACAATCAGAGCGCAGCTCTATATCCACCAGTCAATTAACAACTAGGTCGAAGTGGTTAGTTGCGGAATTATTGGGGAAGGGCACATCATGGTATTACTCTACCCCTTTGGAGATGCCTCGATGGCTGCCCTAATACACTCGGGGTGAGCCTGCAAAGTGCCAGAGGTTAAATTTGGATTTCTACAATCGATTTTCCGCTGGTATCCTTGATACTTCAGAAATTCGTTGTTTTGAGGCGGGAAGAATCATACTGCCGGTGGCTATTTTTAGAATTACTGCAGCATTAAATGCGACGTTTGGGCAAATGTTAACCGTCAATCTCGCGAAAGAGAAAGAATTAAGAATTCATTTCAAACACTGAGCGCTTTCATGATTCCTTCAGTAGTTTTCTGCTTACAAATTCGGTTATACATGCAGACCAAACCTATCAATTTCTCGGTAATCCATATCCGTACATGAGATGTTATCCGATGCGAAATCCTTTGCGGTCATGTCCCATGTACCGTGGCGTTATTCGTTTGGCTTCCTGACACGCACCAGAGAGTATCTTGCATTTTTTTAAATGAAACACATTGTGAGGAGTCATATTTCACAGCTTCGCTGGCAGCTATCGGCATGGAATACCATAAATTTTTTTCACGCTTGCGAGACACATAATTACACCATGTGTCGATTAGATAGAAAGCGTCCATTATACACGAGAAAAAACAGAATTCTCAAACAAGTCTTACTTGTGCCAAGAAAATAGTTTTTTGAAAATTATTAAAAAAGGTTTTTTTTTGTGCCAAACATGCAGAAATACATGCAAAAATAGATTTGGTAGTTTAAAAAAATTGCATTCTCTGCACACGCAAGAAATGCCATTTCCAGCACTACTCCTTCGTTATTCGATACTCCCATACGTATTTTGCCCACGAAAAATGTTCGTTTTATGCGAAACAAGGGATAGTAGTTTTTCGTTTCGGCTATCTAATGAACCCGTAAATGAAACAATAACAATATGATAGCAATCTTGTAACTTGGGGACAAAATATTTCTTGATAAATTTTCCTCTATACGAGATATTTTCATCCTGAAAAGACACCGTCTGGTGTGAATTATCCGCCTCTTTAGCCAAATATTTCATTGTTATCGAAAGCAGAGCAATTATTCATGTTTGAGACTTTCAAATTCGAAACAAACGACTTCTTTTTTGGCAATTTTCAACTAGTGATTTTGTTGACCCAAACAAGGCTTGTTTGCAAACGTGTTTGTTTTTCTGTCAGTGTACCTCTCTCGATGAGTTTTTTCAAAAGAGAAAAATGTTGTCTTCACATAATCATTTCGAGATTCTTGCCATCAACTCAGCCTATCTTTATCACGCTTGTTTTTGTAGTGAATGGAGAGTTCGTGGTGTTCTCTTGTTACAAAATTTGCCTTTGAATTCGTATAAATTTTAAACATGAGTGATTTATCAGGAAACTTCGGTCGATTACGCAGAAATTTTCGCTGAAGTGTAGATTTCATTCCCGCTTAATACAGTCATTCCGTTGAGTGATTGCAGGGGGAATGAATTAAATACATGCTTCAATTTTACATGGGAATTTTCAAACAAATAGCATCGATTCAAGTACTCCAGCGAGTATTAAATGAGACTGTGATCATTGGAGTAAATATTGCTATGAATCGTAAGAGTATTCAAATTGGAAATGGTTGCAATCGGGGAAGGAGCATGATATTATGGTGATTATTCTTCGCATTTGAATTTTGGCCAATGGGAGCGTCGTGCGATAACTATATTCCCCTATCAATTATAATTGTATCTCACAGTATTCCAAAAACACATTCATCACAGAACCGTAGGGCGCAATGAAATCAGAATGGGATTGATGTGCACTGAAAACGCGGTCCATGTCTTCAATTTTTCCATTAACCCTTTGCTTCGTCTCATGGTACCCCACTTTTTGCCGTTTTGTAGTGGTGTGCATGCGCAAGCGTGCTTCTCTTATGGCGCACTAATGCTCGGACGGACCTCCCACTCCTCTCACACCGAGACGATTCGAGATTACGCGAAGCAATGGGTGAAGGGGGACCCAGGTGAAATTTGAAAGTCTTCGGTTGATGAAAATAACTATCGAGTGACTTTTCATACATCATGGGGTACCTAAAAAACTAAGAACAATTTCGTACTCAACCCATTTAACCCCGTACGTCAGGCGAAAACGTCGCTTTTCGTGTTGTTGGCTTGGAAATGCTCCTCACACCACAATTTTCATCCCATTCAAACTTTTTTTTTTCAAAATGTTCATTAGATTCCATAGAATAAGACTAGGTATTTTGCCGATTATCTCAATTAGGTTATAGAAAAAAAATTTTTTCCGTTTACTTTATTTTTTCTTCTTCTGTACCGTATAAAAATTATTATTCTGAGTAGTTTAATATCAAAATTGTTCTCCATAAAACATCTTTTATATACTATTTTGAAACAAAGTTGAAAAATGTGATGATCGAATGATTACAATGCATCACTTTGGAGGCAAAAACTAGCAAATATCACTAGGGTATCAAAATTGATGGAAAATTTCCGTCAAAGTTGCCCACATACTGCAAAGGACGTGCCATACCTATATTTTTTTTATGGTAACCCTTCCAATAAATTTGCAATAATTCCGGACCTTTTGAGATAACATTAGTGATAATATTTTCTTGGTTTTTGTTTCATTCTATAAACTCAATTGGCTAGAGCAGTAATTTCGAGTGCTCCTAGTTTCACTTGTTTTTCACAATTATTTCATCCTTTCTTCCCCAAAATTCCATGATGCACGATATTTAACTAGTCATTTTCGGATTTTTTTTTCTCCTTACTTACACCACCAATCTAGCCTTATTCGAAAATGAAATATGCTGCCGCTACCTCAACCGCGAATTCATTTTTCTTCGAAATTACATCTGTGCAAACTCTTTCTACAAAGTCATCCTTTATTTATTCAGTAAGATGAAAGATGGAATTTCCAATTACTCGCGGGCATTCCGAGGGGCATTCCCCAAGAAGACAATCCCAAATGTTCACAAACAGTTCAAATATTATATGCATCAAAGTCCACGTTTGTCTCGCCTCAGGGAGAATGTGCCGCAGTTGAGAAAAAATAAATGATCCATATGTTCCTTCCGATCTCCACCTTACACACTTGTACTTCCGGTGTCAGGAAGAACATTCTGCACTTCCGTCGGTGTTCACTATTCTGATATTATTACACAAAAAGGCTGTTTTTAATCCACCGCTTCCGGAGATCTGTAGCACTCATATGCACTGACCGGATGTCGGTGCGACTGCATTGATTGTTCTGCGGGCGAATGCAGGAGGACGGATATTAATTGAATACCAACTGTGAATCACACTTTGTACACGATAAATTGAAAAAA